GTCTTGAAAAAATATGGTGAGCTGTGCCTTATAGTTTGGTGAGCTTTGTAGCTGTCTTTGGTAAGCTTTGCAATGTAGTGTGGTGAGCTTTGCGTCATCTGATCGAAGCATGTCATCTCACCGTAAGGTGTTATATATATATATATATATATATATATATATATATATATATATATATATATATATATATATATATATATATATATATATATATATATATATATATATATATATGTTCTGGTGAGAATGCGATCTTAAGAGATAAATGAGAATAAATCTGGTGCTTTAGATTGTGAGATCTAAAGGTCAGGATTACATCAAAATTAGGTGCGCCATATTGGTTTGAAAATGCATCATGTCGAATAAATCTCTCTGTGTGTGTGTGTGTATGTATGTATGTATGTATGTATGTATGTATGTATATGCAGTTGTTTTAAAGAAAAAAGTTATGTTTAATATATTTTCACATGCTTCCAAATAAAGCTCTCGCAGATCCGGAGAATTTATTAATGGGTAATTTATCTAAATAGGAGTAAAACATAATGACTTTCTCAATATAGGACCATATGTTTTTATTTTCCAATGTAGAACCATTGGTCATTATCTATTAGTCATTATTCAACTAAATGTTCAGCATCACTTAGACATTATTCTTCTCACTAGTCATTATTAAGTCCTATTTTGGGAATAAAAAAATTTAAGTCCTACATTAAAAAATAACTTATGTTTTAGTCTTATTTAGTGCAAATTTTACTTTATTAATTCCCTTGATATTTGTGGGTATGGTAGAAAAAGATATGATTGGAAGACGCCAATGGAGGACGGTACGTGCAAAGCTCTTTTACCATACAGGCGGCCGGCCACAATGTGGGTCAAAGTCTTCATGCAAATTATTGTTATTTCTTCGGTCCTTCTATGATATTTTTCTCTTGTACTCCCTGTCCATTAAAAAATACTCCCTCTGTCCCCCTGTATTTGTCGACATTTGACTTTTGGAACTGTTATCTAAGCACTTTGACTCATCAAATTCTCTCAATGTGTAAGCCTAAATATAGTCATGTGTGATCTTGTTTGATTTGTCCTAACATATAGATTATTAATATATATTTTTTATAATTTTTTAATATACAAATTACAAGATAAAATGGATTAAAGAAGTGTATCTTATAAAATATTTTTATCTTACTAAAACTCTATTATTTTAGGTTGGAAAAATTAGAGTTCAATTCATTCTTGCTTCTTCCCACTCTTATTTCTTCTGACTCCTTTCAGTTTTCTCCAATGACTTAAAAAATATTTATATATGATGAATATAAAATGATATTATATATCCAAATCTATAACATATCACTTCAAACACGCACATGAATGAATTCTGTTTTATCCAACATTAGAGTATTCTTACATATTTATTTGGATGATAATTTAATTGAGTGACTTTTTAACTGTTTAATTCTTCTAAGATTTTCTAACTCTTTTTTATTTTTTCTAACTTCTTCCAATTTTTTACAACCCCTTCCAATTTCTTCTAACATCCAACTCTGAATTTCTTTTTCAAACACAAAAGAACACGTCCTTAAAATATCTTAAATACTTTAAAAAAATATTACCCGTAATAAAGAAGAAATAGTCAAGTGTATTCAGGACAGTGGTAAATCCAAAATTTTAGGAGACTCAGAGAAGAGTAGTACAGGGATCGGGGGCAGCGCCCTGCTTTTTTTAAAATCATTGTGAAATTAAAAAATATAAATAAATAAAATTTATCTTAATCAAATATTAAAATAATTAATGAAAAAGTCTCGAAAATACACTCTATGATCTTACTTTTAATTTACTTTATCTTGTAATTCTTCCTTTCAAAATATAATCTAGTAATTTTTTTTATATATTTTACATTTAATTTCTTTTATTTTAAGTTTAATTAATCTATTCTTATACATGAGCATTTCTTTTCTTTAGGGGGCAATTTATTTTTTCGTTAGGGGCAATATTAACTTTTAGGGTAATTATGATGTAAATTAAATAAATAAAATTTTCATTTGGGGCAAGTGCCCCCATTGCTTGTGGATCTGTCTCTCGTTCCTGAAGATTTTAGGCGGAATAAAGGTGTTTTGTAATATACGTAAAAAGTTAGGGTGGAATTGTTTGGTAAAATATGTGTACATTTTTTGGTTAAACATGTCAAACTTTGACATAAAGTTTTAGCTTATGCATGTATTTTTATTACTCCGCATTTTGAATTTATTTTTAGCAACAAAAATTTTGTTTTTCGCGAACAACAAACTTATTCGTGAATTACTTTTATAACACAAATGATTTTTTTAAGAAAAATATATTAGTGGAGTCGGATAATAGATTACAATATTGTTAGGAGGGATAGTATTCGTGGAGTTTGAATGTTTTATTGATAAGTGAAAATTAGAAAATTATTTTAATTTTGAGGCGAGGAAAGTATGACTTTAGATTTAGGAGGGAAAAAATAATAAAAGTATAAAGACACAAGCTTTTCCGTGAATTGAGTGGTAGGAGTAATATTCTATGCTAAGTGTAGGGTCTCTGCAAGTACCAGGTGCAACTCTATTTTTTGTCACTAATCTGTAACAGGGCCGGTTCAAAAAATGAAAAATTAAATTTGGCCAGGTCCAAAATTTACATTCTGGACCCTATTTTATTTTTTAGAATACTTTTGCTTTAAAATTATTAATAAATTTGAAAATACGAGACCCTAAAATTTTAGGGGCCCTATGCGGTTGGTCACTTTGCACATCCTCCGGGCCACCCATGATCTGTAATTAAATTTCAATATACCTCATCTTAGATGACCATCTGACCGGTTCTAAGAGACCTTCCAAGATTGGGTTCATCCATCTTTTTCTAGATGAGAAAATTAGTTAGATTCATATTTTAATAGAGACGTACGGAGTACATTCTATGCGTTTTAAACATCGAGAAAGTATGTATCAAAAAATACTACATTATAACACTACTAAAAAAGAATAAATTCCTAAAATGATACTCGATAAGGTGATTTCTTTTCCATTAATTAAATGTTTTTTGCATGATACTCTTTTAAATAATTGTAAATAATCTAACGATTAGTTTCAAATTTATATAATAGTTTTTAGTATTATATTTTCATCCTAAAAATTTAAAAAAATTACCATGATTAATGTATTTTTATTTTGAAATGGGCTAATTTGAAAAATACTCAGTTAGAAAGTACCACTTTGGAAAAGTAATATAAGCATATAAGGTTTAACATCATTTTAACGTCGTTAGTTGGAAGGACTAAATTGATCATTGTTCTCAATTAACGAATACCATCTTAGAAATTAATTAATTTTAGAGACTAATTTGAAAAAATAAATAATTATTAGGTACTATTATGAATATTTTACTCTAAAAAAATAAAAAACATCATTTCATGAGGAAGGAAAATCCAAAATTCCAATTCGGTTCTATATATTCAATGCGTCCTCATGCTGTGTATACCTTTTTCTCAGTCTTCTTATTGCTCGGCTCGCTGCCTTATCTTTGCGCAGTTTCTTCCTACAAATATATACGGAGTATATTTTATATTGAAGAGAGAAAATAAAAAAAAGAGAGAGATTATTAAAACCAAGTGAATTTATTTAATTTCTTTGAGAATTTTTATTGGGAAGAATTGAAGAAGAAGGAAGAAGAAGATGGGAGTTTGGAGATTATTTGAAGTGGCGTCGATGCCAATAGTTCAAGTGTTGATAATAAGTGTATTGGGAGCTTTGATGGCCACTGATTATTTCAAGCTTCTTCCCCCCGAAGCTCGCCGATCCCTTAACAGAGTACGTTTTCGGCTTTACTCCCCTCTTCCTCCCCCCTATCTCTTTGT